TGACGGCGGATTTACGGTGTAGTTCTGGCTTCTTCTGAAGAAGACGACCCTGTCAAAACGTTAGGCCGTTGAATAAAGATTCCACCTAAAAACCTCGAGAGGCATAGCAATACTAACGAATCGAACAACGATGCCGAGGTTACAGCAAGAGAGAAGCCGGAGAATATTCAGCAAACCTTATCATCAAAGTTATCCTCAAGATTTCCAGTGCACTTATTAACTAGAACGATCTCAACAAGCCTACAAAACTTCCACCAGTTTTCGAACATTTCTCCTTCGTAGTCACTTTCAGAAACAATCATAAATCTTCGAAATCACTGGACAACTGTGACGTTACAAGGTTCTCTTTCACCCTTCATGATCACCATTACATAATCTACGATAAAAAGGGGCATTTTGAGTAATCCCTTTTCAAGATGCGGCACGCATTCGACTCCTCTTCAGAATCCCAGTGGCTTATTGAATGCGATGTGGCCTATACAATGACTTGCGGGGCCAGCCGATGTACAAGTCAGTGTAGTTGTCCTCCCAAACAAGTCTGGTGTAAATTTACCATTCCTGGGTTTTGGAAGCTTTGTTGGTACCCGATTAGAACGCGGTAGCCGATTTGGGATGTGACCCTCGGTCGCGCGCGTGGTAAGCGTGCTACCAACCACCGTGCCACCTCTGCCTCACGGAATTCACGATAAGGTCAAAAATAGAAACGAATCGCAATATCCTCACCTTCCGTACGATCATACTTCATTGGTGGTGAGCTCGTGCTAACATCATTTTGATTGTCCGCTGGATCTACGAAGGAGTCTGAATGAAGAGACGACGGCGTAATACGAGCGACACCCGAGTCGCGTCCAGTTGATGAGCGTTTCTTTGGCTTCTAAAAACACCCACAACATATGTAATTGTCAATTCAGGGATAATCTCATAAATCTCTGGGTTACACTCGTGAACATCCAATTCACGAAGCAACAGAAATATCTATGACACAGAACAAAAAATGAACTGGACTACCAATCAAAAATAGACTAGTATACAAGATTTGAATACGCTGCGCTCCCAGAAGCCAACCCCATATCTGTGGACCAAACTGTTTAGTGAAAAAGAGTCGTAATTACTGAGGAGGCTGTCATCTTGAGGAGCGCATTGCATATTTCGGTTGAAGGAAGATGGGCGGCACTACTAACATTAAGAAGGGGATTCAAAGGATTTCTGGTGCAAAACTGGGACATCGCAAAGGAGATAAGAACATTCGCCTGGACCTAGTGAAGGCCGAAGCACCGCAGTTGTGAGCCATTTGAAAAAGGCACTTAAAATAAGGGCACGTATGAGGGGCATCTTTGGGAAGATTTTGACAAATACGCTTCGAGCCCCTCCCGCATTACCATCTTCCTGAATTTTCCCAACTTCCCACCACATTTCTGGCTTTTTTCAGACATTCCTCTACTTCCTCCCGGTAACTGCCGTCGAGAGGGGCGGAAGGGGCGCCAGAGGGAAGGGGTGAATAGCGCAGTAGAAACAGGAAAAACCGAGAAGAGTCCACAAACGGAAACATTTTGCTCAAACGAAATTACTCTCCCTCCCTGCATCGGCCAAATATTCGCTGGGCATCCCAACGAACTACGTGCCTCAATCAAATTGGAAGAAATAATTCTTATCTTCGCGCAAGAGTCTTTTGAAAACTCCCTCTCCCACGACTAGTAAGGCTTGTGGAGGGTTCTGAAGGCTGTTGATTATTAGAAAACCAACAAAAGATTCCGATCAGAGAGGGGCCTGACCTAAACTTCTTCTCCTGGACTTGAACTATTTCTTCTTATCTAAAATTCGTTGCCCGAAAGTCCCAGAATACCCACTCACCACAACATTATCGAACTTCAGTAAGGGAAGCACTCCGTTGAGGAGGGTCTTAATGAAGCATCACAAGGGTTTCCGAACAGGTATCTGATCGTTTTTTCTTATTGAAAAAAGTCTGGTCCCTAGCGGAGGCAAAATTTCGTCCTCCCAGGCGAATGCAGTGACGGTTTGGCATTTTGATCAAGACACGACGCACGCCATCGGCTAGCCCCAACGACCCGCAGCCTATGGCACTAGTCGTGACTTCATTCTCCCAGATACATATGTTCGCTGACGGTGTTGGCAATGAGCAATTCTAATTCATATGCGCGCCACCACTTTTCTCGCGAGAAGTACCTCCACTCAAGGTGAGAACATTTCAATGGGTCACCTCGGCCGCAGAACAGAAAATACTCACCGAAAGTTTGCCAAACTTTTCAACACTGTTCTTGTAGTCGGGTGGGGGTTGCAGCGAAGGTCTAATTTTTGGCAAGCACTCATCGAGGCTGAAAAAGCAAATTTATCTTCGCACGCTAAAAACAAAAACAAAAGGAAAAGAGAATTGGAATAGCGCAGCTGGATAACATACTTCATAAATGACGTTGATTGAGTAGCACTCATATCGGAAGTCCGAGATGGTGATCTCATGAGCGCTATTTCGCTGGTCCAAAAATCTGAAAATATATCGCAATATGAAAATTCTCCAAAAATTGGATAATAGTTTCAGTCACCATTCTCAGTGGAAATCACAGTGGGAGGAGTGCGGCGAGGGTGAAGTGAAGTCAGAAAAGAGCGAAAATGCTTCTGCGACAATAGAGAGGAACTTCTGCACTGCCAGAAATTGAGTGCACTAGAGTGACCCAACGCACTCAGCTCTCACGGACCATTGTTGAACGAAAAACGGGGCGATCAATGAGATTAGCCTCAAAACTCAAGACGCCTGCCGCTGAACCATTATGCGTAATTCGCATAATGGCCTCGTACTCGTCCCACAAATGCACATAGGTCAGCAAGGCAACAACTACCATCATTATCCAAGTCTATACGGGCTGCGCATTGAATTGGAACAGCAACAAATCAGCGGCGAAAAACGGACGGATAGCGGACAGCCGGATAATGGCTTACAGTGCAGTCAACAGAGATTTAGCCTCCACACTTCACTTAATACTAGACTTTTATTCGTTATCAACGATCCAACTGAAGGTACGACAGCTCTGCCCGCGATAGAATGGACACGTGCTCAGAAAGCCCGAGGAGCACCCGATAAGAAGAGCGTTTGACTCCGATTCACAGTAAAAGCGACCACGAGGAGTCCCAGGGTAAAGACGAAGGAAGTCATCACAATGGACTTCACTGAAGCAAATGCCACTGAAGAAACTGCAATGGCTCAGAATGGCTCGGAAGAAGCGGCGACTTCTAACAAGAACGGTGGGCCCTGCGACGGCGAGAAGCAATAAAGCTAGGGGAAAGGAACCTATTTGTTGTCTCTGTGCAAACGCTGCTGTACCGTTGCAGTTGTGCGTTATCAGAGTTTGAAATAGTAGTGATTGACGAACAAGTTCGTCAGGAGATCAGAGACTTTGTATCTGTTTTATATGACGACTTAATAGTAATCCTATTTGTTGATATTCAAGCTTAGTCACTATCTTTTTTTTTCTACCCTGTTTTACAGAATACTCAAATAAAGGCTTTCCGACAACTTTTCAGCATTGACTTGAAGAGAACGAGATAAAGCGTGAGCCAGCCTTGTAACAGGCTTGTCAAGGTGTTTTCAAACTCTCTAAAGGTGTTGTGTACGATGGATCAAAGAACGATGGAGGTAAATTGGTGCTCACGCACAATACACATGGTACAGCATCCTGATGTGTGACGCGGTTCAGTACGACAACCCATCCCCCTACCCGAAGAGGTGTCCCATTAAAACCCCTCCCGGCTGTAGTTGTTAGTCTGAGGAGAAGGATTAGATACGTCTGGCATCCGCCTTGAGATCTCTTCATAGAACGGCGCTGGAGCGCACTTGTTCACATGATGGAAATCACATGTGATCTTCTGGAGGAGATAACTTTTTCAGGTTCGCAGTTTTTTTGATAAAAGGAAAGCGATATGTTAAAGCGATGTTCTACTGCCGCGTATATTTATATATTAGTGAGCTGAATCCAGCCCGATTGAAGAAATACCTTGGAAGGGTCTTAGATGGGTTACTGGCAGATAGAACGCAAGTTGTTATGCTCCGGACGGCAGACTTCTTTCATACGCAGCCTTTCGCAAAATCAAAGACCATCCCCACAAAAGCGCAGACAGTGTTATTTCTTTCAAGAAATGCTTCACTTTCCTGAAGGTCCACGGGCTTGGAAGATATATCAGATGGGTTTTGGTAGGCAATTTTCTGTAAAAATAACTGACTGTTGAGGATACGGATCATCATGCTGCCGCTTTAGTGTATTCCTTTCCTAATTTTTGATTTATCTCTTCGCCTTTAATTGCAAACACCCTAATATGCGCTTTCAGGACACATGCTCCCGTTGAAGCGTTGAAGTGACTGAAGGAGTATTTTGAATCATTGGTCTGAGCGTAAGCCGTGCATTACCCTTCTACGCAATGGTGGAAAGGTGTCACATCTAATTTCAAGTGAATTTTGTCCATGCAAGCAGATGTTGTTGGGTTTGGATAGCATCGATATGACCCCAAGCCTGCTAAAGATTTACATTACTTGGTCATCCAGGTATCTTACTTACTGGTGCAGACTACTAATATTGTTAGAGAATTACTTCAATATTTTGTGGTCTTCCACACCTGGGTCCTCTACAGCATTGCTCTCGCTCCACAAGAACTTAGCTAACCTTTTTTCTGTGTTTTGTGCTCACCGATCCTATGTTAACGACCCCCTCCTCTTCCTTAGCGGCCAAGTACACCCCCTCGATGGGCTTCACACAACGATGCTGTACCCTGTTGGTACATGCGGTACCGAATGAAGTCTTCGTGAAGAAATTAGTGGAAGATTAATTATGAACACTACAGCCCCACTGTTCTTCAGATCTGCATGAGTCTGTCGGTCTTCAGGCAGAGAGAGAGCATGCTTCATGCCAGAAATAGCCGTGAACCTGCTCGACATTCCAGCTGATGAGAGAAAGAAGTAGGAAAAGAAGCGTTGATAACATTCGTACCCCTGAAGCATGACGAGATCAAATTTCGTTAGCTGACTGCACTGGGCGTACGGCAACTGCACCATCTCTCGTAAGATGATAGGCCCGCACATCTGCCCTTACGGACACAGAGTACGGTACTGTGATACCGCACTCAAGAGAACTCCGAAGAGTGACTGGGCAGTCAAAGGCCAGCTAATTGAAATGTACCATAAAGCGTTTGCGAAGTGGGCGGGGACGACGTGTTTAGGGTGGACAGCATGAGACATGACCTCTTTCAGCACTTTTGTTACACAGCACATTCGCAGCGTAACCGCGAAGTCAGACGCCACCTGATTTTTGGGCACCATTCAGTGATTCTGAACAGGATTGTTGGCTGGGGATTTTAATCGAGCGTGTACGACCCCTCCCCCTCTGGCCCTCTGTTCCTCCTCATCTACTCATCGAATCGACCCGTCGAGCGGGGCGGGGGAGTAAAGGGGGAGGGGGTAAATAGCACATGTGAAACAGGAAAAGTCGCGAGACAATACGACCCCCCTCTCCTGGCGGCCAAATACGACCCCCCCCCCTGATGGGGATTCCCCAACAACGATGTGCCTGATTCTGAAGCGGGCGGGGACCACGCGTCCTCCATTCATGCAACCATACACTAAGCTTTCGAAAAGGCTTGTTCGGACTTATAACCAGTGCTGGGAAGGACCTCCCAAGATGTAAAATGGCTTGAGAAAAATTATGGTGTTAATCACAGGGAATTCAGAAGATCATACTGTTTCAAAGGAGAAATGTATCGCCATTGGAAAGGAAGACGGTAAAGTTCTAAATTCACATAGCGACCTCAGACGACACAACTATAGCCAGTCATCAACTTCCCATTTTTTGAAACTCTAGACGCCGCGGTTGCAAATGGGTGACGTGGGAAGCAAAAGTGGATCACACAGCAGGGAGTGGGGTTATAGGAATGAAGAACTCAACAGTGAGACTCAATGCCAGACATCT